CTTTCGCGCTGCTCTCGTTATGTAACACTTTGCGATGCATCGTTCGGCGTCGCCGCGTCTGTCGCTCCCGTTTTTCGCACATTGATTGGACTCTCGGTCTCCTTGAACTCTTTGAAAAACACTCTTTGCATCCGTTTTTTTATTCATCTTCCTCCAACTTGCAACTATTGTCTAACAGTATTAAATCTATCGTCTAACGGTATTAATGTGCGTCTTGTCTCTCGCATGACTCAAAAATTGGAGCAGTTTCGATTCCTCAAGATGGATCGTATTTGATACAAAACGATCTTTTTCAATTTTTGACGTGAAATTTATTTCACGATTTTTGCGAATCTACTGACCTAACTCTATTCCACCAATTTTTTCAACTGTTTCACTGCCTCTTTTATTGTGTTTTTTAAACTCAGCTGGACGACAATTGAGCAAATAGGCAAGAATATCGCCTACGAACCGGTATTCTTTTCCTTCGATCTTCTTTAGTCGCTACGTCTGTTCTAAAAATTTCTTCATACATTCTTAACACATTCTTAACACCCGGCTTTCGATATGTACAGTCCCGATACGTACATGTAAGTCTTTAAGATTATTATAGAAACGCCTCAAGACTGGTCATATGTCGATTAGGATTCTGTCGATTAACAGGATTCGTCCCACACACGTGCGTAGGAAACGTGCTGAGCGATCAGACAAGGACACATAAAAGTAATTCCAAGGTTGTCCAGTTCGTCTGGCGCCTCCTTGTGCGATCAAGGTCGAATGGACGGATGGACTGGCTTTCAACGAGTCCAGAGAGTTCATCAACACAAGAATTTTTTTCTATTAAATTCTTCATCTAAATTCCAACTTCCATATCTCTCGATGTACTAATGTTCCTTTCTTTTTGTTTTGTAATTCTAAAGCTACGTTTATGTCCCGAATTTCCGCAGAATTAAACAATTGTTCATTTAAACAATTAAAAAATTGTAAAAAATTAGACTCAGTCTCGAATTGCCAAACAAATCATCCCTAGTTCTTTTGTACTTTTGGTCTGATAACCAGATGACTTTTTTGGAATGTTAAGTTTTTGTTTCTTAATAAGCTGTAACGTGTTTTTTATCTTTTTTGTTGTAAAATTCTCATATTTTTTTACATTATAATGGCAGAAGAACTTTCGAGTGTTACTATCCACTGAGTATAATTTTAATGCATCTGTCCGATTTTTATCTTATTTTAGCAGAAAAATGAAGAGAGTTTTTACTTACGATGAAAATGAACTACTTGAATTTAAATTAATTTCAAACTTAAATTTAAAAATACTTAAATTTTTAAAATTTAATGAACTTTAAGAAAAGAAATCGGCAGTTTATACATTATTATTAGCAATATAATTCGCAATTAATATTTCTGTTAAAAATTAGAGAATCATTGTGCATCAGTAGAGGCTTGTATTAAATAGTTAGCAAAAGTTTAAAAATAGACGGCTTTCAATGTCCATCGATATTTCCGAAATAAATCGCTATTATCGGCGTTATTTTAAATATATACGTCATCTCTGTCGCAGATTTTTCCCCTTCACAGACTTATAATAATAAAACTATCATTCTACGGGATGTCCCATCCTGTCAATATGAAGCGAAAAAAATGAGTTCTTGAAGATCGTGACAGCGATATGAGAGTACTATTAAAAATATCAAAGGATATATTTGATTTTCAAAGTAGTTCGAGACTAAGAATTTTTCTAGATCGATCGTCGGATCGAATCGCAACTCGCATATCGCCGTGCTCTCCAGTTGCATCATGAAAGACAATAAGTTAAATAAAAGATAATAAGTATAAAAGATAATAAGTTCGACGAACCGTATTGTAGTTATCATTGTCAAACCGTAATGATATACTTATTATACATACCATATATAATAATATAGGCAATAACACTAAATTTCTTACAGTGAAATATTATTCCAAGAAAGTGAAAATACAATCACCCTTGAAAAAAAAATGAAAATATTTCTTGAAAAAGAGTGACAATTTTCACTTCGAAGAAGTGAAATCTCACTCCAAAAAAAAAAAAAAAAAGAAATTTCACTCTTAAAAAATGAAGAGAGTAAGATTTCACTGCAAGAAATTTAGAATGAATTTAATTCGGTGAATGTTTCTCGTTTGAATGATACCTAAGCCAAATGAGTGGTCTCGAATGACTGACTGGTCATAGTTGTATAACATTATTTTTGAACAATGTGCCGAGGATGCGAGCTAGTTTTGGCACGCAGCAGTGGCGCGTTCCGATTAATCTTGCGCAGCTACGTAACGAGACAAAGGTCGATAGATACTGGTAGACTTTGGGGTTCCGTTCTGTAAAACGTATTTTATTTTTATTGTCCACCGAATGTTAAAAATAAATTGGTACATCGTACGAGATATATCAAATGAGAGATTGCTCTGCGATGTGCCGATTCGCAATGTTCTGTACAACTGTACAACAATTCTATTCGCTTTCCTTAGTGGGTGGAATACAAGAACGTAACGTAATCATTCATTATTTATATAGTGCAGAGAATTTACAACAGGCATGGGAAAGCCGAGCTTATCGAGCGATTTGTATAGATACACATTCTGTTAGGCTTATCAATATGTACATACGTATATACTTAACGTTGACAAACGTTTCGATGAGCTGGGAGAGAGTTTGATAAACATAACAATGACTTAAGTGGCAACATTAAGTACATACGTATACTGTCACCCCTGTAATATGTAACTATCCATCTGTTTGCTTAGCACTTGAGAATCCGCATTTCCAGTTTGCTTTGAATTTATCACTTCGATTACGGATAATCTTATTAATTACGATTATAGTCGCGAATACTTTGTGTCTAACGCGAATGATTAAAACTTTTTGAACTGTCGATTCTTGTTCTATAATTTACCATAATTAAATGACAATGTGAACTTTATATCGTGCGCTTCAATAATTACTGATACGCTCTATGTATAACGTATATGAAAAGTTTCCCAGCACAATGAAGAGAGAAGTCTTATGAATGAGACGTTAAAATTAGAATCGACTTCCAGGCACACCGTCGTTAGTTTTTACTGACTCTCGCTGCATCCCAATTTTACTTCTACGATTTCTCAAATTTCATTTGACGAAACCCGACCAGGTCGGTAAGGGAAACTATTGCAATTGACCAGTTCTCCTGTCATCACAAAATTGTTTCTATTTTAACAGTCTGAATCATACTTCCTCTCACTCTCTTTTTCTTTCCCTTTGATGTTTACGTTACGCATTTTGTTGCTCTGCTATCTCATCAAATTTATATCGATTTCTATCGCGAACATCAAGTTTATTTTTATCTGGAAATTTCTTTGTTGTTGGATTGATTGCTTCCTTTCTTAGAAAGCGACAGATTTTTTTTGGGGGGAGGGGGTTGTAATTTTGTAGGAATAATTAGTTGCATTTTTCACGTTTATTCTTCAATGTAAAAAAAAAGTAATATGTGCATACGCAAAATAAAATATCGTTGTGGTAGAAAGGCAAACAAGACCAATGAACAATTCGATACATCGATGAAACAGCGCTTTAATGTTTTTATGCTCACCATATTCACTAAAATGTATTTGTTTGACATTCTTCGTGATACGATCCGTGATATGATCACAAACTCGCAATGTTATGAATCACGGGGTGTAAATTATGACGGATTATTGTTAGCGTCGGATGTCGTGTTATTAGCAAGCAATTAACGTTACAGCTTTAGTTGTCATAAATACATATTCACATGACATGTTTGTATTCGTCTATTATGTGCTGCAATACATTTCCATTCTTAAATCTTTTACGAACAAAATTTTCTACAAACAATACTTAAACCTCACCTTAACAAATTTTGATTCCGTTATCCGTTTAGAGATCCTTATTTAGGATTACCATATATATCTTAAAGTTTTTTAAATTAGAACTCACAGGCCAAAAACTTTGGACTTTTTGCTTGCAATCCTGAATACATACAAAATATACATATACGTATACGTTAATCAAATTGGTTCAAATAAAGACTAATTATTTTAATAATTATTAGTCAGTAAATAATTATTTTATATCTAATAGTATTAATTTAATGTAAGAAATTGACCAAATTTCATTGGTTATTATTTAATTCTACCTTTTTCATTTTTACGATACCTCTCAATCTGGAATAATCAATTCTCATCATATTGGGTCATCTAAAAAGTATCCGCGGTTTTTTGACCATCAACACCATCTAGTGACAAAAAACCGCGGATACTTTTTAGATGACCCAATATATATAATCGTCGAATAAATAAAAATTTAAATTAAATTGTCTCTGTACTTTATTGAATAAAGTCAATAAAGCTTAATCAGAAGATATTTTTCCATAACATATTTCAATATATCCAAAATATTACAGTGCGTTTCACATAATAACGTGCATGTGTATCACGTGTCTTTATATGTGCATCAAAATTTATGAATGTCCTCTATCACAATTTGTATCTTTTCTTTTGAACACTAAATGTGCTTTATCCATCTCCATGCAAGCGAAAAAAGAGAAATTTATTATGCTTTTATAAAATTACGAAAACACAGCATTTTATTTCTAAATCATTTAAAATATATATTGAAAAATCTTATATATTATCTTCCTTTCATATTTTATACAATTTTACCTTTTAAACTTAATGTCTTCTTAATTTTACTGTGATTTTTAACGGCAAAAAGGATCAACGGTGTATTTCCAGAATGGGCATTTCGTTTTTCAGGAGATCAATATTTGAATCAAAAGTAGTCATTATGTAATATAATCTACATTTTTATTGTGCGAGGGAATATTGCCTACAGTAACGTTTTCGTCTCTTTTCGCTCGGTTACGTAATGCTTGTTCCAAAGCTGAACCTCAAAATAAATAGCTGTGATATTATTTTTCTTCGTTATTGCGCGTTATATTGCTAAGTTTGTCAACAAAATGTTAAGTATGTCTCATTGTTTAAATTTTGTACAGGTCATGAAAATGGTGAAGTCAATATTGGGTGAAAAGTTGTTCACAAAGCTCATGAAAGCCACGTTTTACGGTCACTTTGTCGCTGGCGAAGATGAGGTGCAGATTACACCTGTCTTAGATAGGCTGCGGCAATTTGGCGTCAAACCAATCCTTGATTATTCCGTCGAGGAAGACATCTCGCAGGAGGAGGCCGAAAGGCGTGAAGTCCAGTAAGTATAATACTCTTTAAATAAGTTTTACATATTTCTGTGATCGTAACAATTATGTTGTCGCAACTATCGTATCATTGATCTTTTTTATTTTCCATATGGCCTTACAAGAGTAGTTACTTCGTGGGTCGAATCCCTTTATTAAAGATGAAATTTAAACCTGTGTACCGCTTTACCGTGCAGAGATAATATTGGCTACAGTTTTCTATTTATATTTGCTTATCTTCGATTCCTGCGTGAATGGATTTTAATTTTCATCAGTATGTAAATGGAAAAAGTTTAAGAAAGAAACGAGACATCTAAATAGAAAAAAAAATCGAATACAGACGCAATGATAATAAATGCCCAAACAGTCGCTAACCATTCGGTATTCTTCCATTTCAGAGCCTCGGTGTCGGAAGCAGGCGATGAGAAGAGGGAGGGCCCGCTAAAGAAGTATCACGTGGAGAAGTCGTTCGCCGATCGACGATACAAAGTGTCGTCGGCCAGGACATATTTTTACCTGAATGAAGCTTCGTGCGAGCGAAACATGGATATATTTATCAGGTGTCTGGAGGCTGTGGCGAGTGAGTCACGGACTTTACTTTGGGCTTTCCTTAGCATTTTAAAATCCATCCTAATCCCCGAATTGATATGTTTGGCAGCGCGATATTAAGCTATACAAGATCTATCACAAACCAGTCTGAAACTGATTTTTCGCTTGAGTCTCTTGAACAAATTAAATAGTGAAAATATTTTTTTATTATTTAATTCTAAGTGTGTAAATTGGGAATTCATTTGTTTGTTCTATCATCTTGATTTATTCCGCAATTTACTAAAACTAGGAACGATGATTAAATTCATGAAGCAGATCGATCTTTTTCGCAATGTTCTTAAAAGGCTTCTTTTAAAGTGCCTCTTGATATTTTTCGGATATTCGAATGATGCAGTCAACTAGTCATGTATCTTTGTTATCCATGAAAATTGATGCTCCGATTTATTATCCGTTAAGATTACTGCATTACTATTGTCGTACAGCTTGATTTTCATGAACATGATTATTGATCCTAATTACATGGAAATTAATATTCACCATATGAATATTAATTTTTCGTACATTTTATTACACACTTATTTGTGCACAATAAAATGTGCGAAAATATAAAATTAATTAATTGAATTGTGTAATTAAATTAAAATTAAATGTAAAATTATACTTAATCGAAGTAATAAAACTTACGTAACATAACAGAAGGACTGCTTTCTAAGGAGGGGGGAAGAAGTAATTGCGTAATTACGGGGGTGCGATTCCGACGTCACGAAGTCGCGTGCAAGATCGATCGCCATTTTCAGAGAATTTTCGGTTTCCGTTGACGCAAGAACACTCGCCTCTTCCTGGCACCGGTATTACATTTAGCAGTATCTACAAAACGCTATCAAATTACTATCAATACGAGAAAGAGAGAAAAATGGCACGTATTCTCGTCATGCGACGATAACGGCGATGAATTAAGTCTTCCACATCCGATTATAAATACATATATTAGTAAAGCACGTGCATCGTTTGTGTAAAATAAATTATATGACGTAACATATCGGAGACATTAATGGACAAAAAATTGTCACGAGTTGACTAATGTCTAACTAAGAAATAGAGAGAAAAATAAAAAAATCGGTATACTGTAGACTCTGAATGAAGAGTATTGTTTCATAAAATTTTACAGAGGATGAAATTCAAACTTTGAAGCTGAAATATCCCTCCCAGAATATTACCACCCATGCCCAAATTGATCCCAATCCTGGTAAGAAAGACATTGCTTCCCTTCTTTATCTTAAAATCTTCTCCATACATTTTTCTTTTATTCTTATGAAGAGTTTTTCTTTTTTATGAAAGAATAATTGATTTAATTGGTATTGTAGTATAATACGACGTAACAGGAAGTATATCTTTGCAGGTGCTTCTATGGGAATAGGCATCACAGCTGTCAAATTAACAGCGCTTGGTCGGCCACAGCTTCTGGTTAGTAATTTTATTTTTACTGCTGACTTTAGTTCATTTGTAAATCTATAACTGTAATAAAATAATTTATGCGCTTCAGCTGCAATTGTCTGAGGTAATTATGCGTGCACGACAGTATACATCGGATGTTATCGGCGGAGAAGGTGCCGTTCTGGCTCATCATGCAAAGCCTGATGATTTTAAGAAAAAGTTCGAGGAAGCACGCATCAAAGATACAGAGGTGCAAAAGTTTCTTCAAAAAATTCAATCGGATAAGGAAGGGTATGCGCGATCAAAATGAAGAATTTTAATGACATTTTAATACAGAATAGTATTGCAAACACAATAGATATTTTTGTCCATGCAGTGTGATTCACCTCTTCCCGTGGAGCGGTATTCTAGACGAAAATTATGAACTAAGCGAAACGTTCCAAGTACCTGATATTAAGACGGGCAAAATGGTTAGGCTAATGTCGCAACTCACGTCCAAGGAAGAAGAAATGTTTAGGAACATGATCAGGCGTTTAAACAATATCGTCACAGTAAGTATTAAGCAAAAGTTTTTCTATCAATTTTGAGATTCTTGACCGACGTCATAAATGAATAAATCATTCTTTTTTACAGGTAGCTGAAAATCTGGATGTTCGTATCATGATAGATGCGGAGCAAACGTACTTCCAACCGGCCATTTCTCGCCTGACATTAGAAATGATGCGCAAATACAATGCGAAAAAGGTAATGTCCTAATGTTTTCAGAGGATCGCGACGTTATCACTTAGCTACTTTTCAGTGAATGATATTCTTACCGCCAAATGTCGGTCTACTTCTTAGGCTGTGGTATTCAACACTTACCAGACGTATCTACAAGACGCGTATAATGAGGTGAAAACGGATCTCGAACAGGCAGAACGCCAAAACTTTTATTTCGGTGCTAAACTTGTACGCGGCGCGTACATTGAACAGGTTTGTGAACACTTTTCGAATAAACTTCATTGAATTACGCGGAAATATCGAAGAGTTCTTATTCAGGAAAGGGCAAGAGCAGCAGCTATGGGTTATCCAGACCCCACTAATCCAACGTTTGAGGCAACGACCGAGTCCTACCATAAGACGCTCATGGAGTGCTTGAGGCGAATGAAACAGTATAAGGATAAGGGAGAAGATCCCAAGAAAATAGGTATTATGGTCGCCTCGCATAACGAAGACACTGTGCGTTTCGCGATCGAGAAGTGAGTATCGATTACGATTTATATTTTATCTATATTCTCTACGAAAGAATGAATATATGTATATTGACAAAGTACTGCGGATACTTTTTAGATGATCCAATATATATATATGAAATAATCTTTTTACGTTTTTTAGGATGAAAGAAATCGGAATTTCGCCAGAGGATAAAGTCATATGTTTTGGTCAATTATTAGGAATGTGCGATTACATAACATTTCCATTAGGTATGGAATAATTCTTTAAGCTGAAATATTTTTCTATAATATAAGATGAGATATGTATGCATATGGATCAATATCGAACAAAATTTCTAGGTCAATCCGGTTACTCTGCATACAAGTACATCCCATACGGACCGGTTAAAGAGGTATTGCCATACTTGTCGCGACGCGCACAAGAGAACAGGGGTATACTGAAGAAGATCAAAAAGGAGAAACGCTTGCTACTAAATGAAATCACGAGACGTATAGTGCGCGGCAAGTTCTTTTACAAACCCAAGGGCAATTATACTCCAGTTTGAGCAGTCGATCCGTTTAGTTGCACACAAACAAAATTTTAAGTATCAAATTTAAGTAGTGGTTGTAAATTATCGAGGACTCTCCTGAAAGAGCTTGAGGCGAGCTCTTTTGATTGAAGTAACTTGACGGGCCTGTTACTGTGGTATTCGGAAGAAAGAGAGAGAAGAAGAGAGCGAGGGGGGAGGGGGGCGTCGTGAGTGTACGCATCCACGTGCATGAGTGTGAATGCAAGACTTGAGAATATACGCAGTGTTATCTGTTACGTAAAAATCGCCTTAGTGTTGTATTGTCGAATGTACTGATGCTCAAAATTGCTTGTGAGTAAAGCTATAGTATGCATTCGTTACTCGTTTTTTCATCGTTATTAAACAGGATGCCAGTGATAGTGCTATAATTTTCACTAACGAGAAAATGTTTTCAAAAAGATTGAGCAAAGAGAATCCAAAACTAATCAACTCTTTCCAAAAAATAGTTTTAGTATATAAAATAACGATGATTTCTTTAACGATAGTTTGTATATTTTCTGTGCACAGTATTAAGAAATCAACCTTATCAGTGGCTTTTTCGCAACAATGATGACGATTGGAAGAAACCTTATCTTGGTTTTTTAGCATATTTGTGTTTCCCAAGTTTTACAATTTTTTTGAGAATCTCATCGAATATTTTTCATGTGTATATAATACACGCGCGTAATCAATTATTTATGATTCGTGTTTTTCTAAATGTATTATTGTCCATAATATTGATAAAAAGGGAGAGATATAAAAAAAAATGCATTGCACATAAATCCGGATGTAATTGTATAATATAATTTGCTATCATCTTGACGATTAATGCTCACGGTGAACATGGTAGAACATGTTTAGAACATTCGCGATATATGTAGTTACTAAGAAAAAAACATAGTAATTGTATCGCGTGCGCTTCCATTAAGCGTATAACATTGCCGATGAGCATTTTATTATAGTCTATCTAGCGGAACAATAGTGAAATGGCTCCGAAAAAGAGAAAAGATAAGTATCATGCAAAAATGGCTTTCTTCTTCTTTATTTGTGTTTAAAAATAACACGCGTGTTATATATACGAAAAAATAGTTTTCTTAGAAGTGTGACGAGATAACAGGGTGAAAGTATAATAAGATTCAGAGGTATCTTAACTAGAGACGTGCGGATTTTTTAATGTTGGGTAGTATGAAATGGAAGAGAGAAAGAAAGGGAAACAGAGTCGTTCTTCGTAGTGCACGCGTATTAAATCGCGATATAAAAGTGATTTTGGGCTGACATGACGATAATGAAAGCCGGAGAGATCTGCGAGAAACATGATATTTCTTTTGTGATACGTTAATAGTTGTAGTTAAGCCCACATATATGTACACGAGATATTAGTCCCACTTTGCTTCAGCCTAAAATTGCTTCTCGCGTTACACAGAATAATCGGTAAGAAAAGCGTTCGACGCTGTTGAAAGAACACCGCAAATATAATACTGTTTTAAAAAAAGGAAATCTATGCACTCCGTCATTATTGTTTCTTTCTAAGGAAGAAAATAAAGGAGGACAGATTTTTTATTTAGAAACAATAAATTCATGCCGTGATTTGAATAAAAGTTTTAAATATTAACAATCCTTTTCTCATCCGTCATGAGAGAAATTACACTTCGAAAAAAGGAATTATTGAAGATTAAATGATGATCTGATTCACGAAAGAAAGAATTGCGTCCAGTTTCATAATTCAGCGTTACTCGTCGTTGTCAAGGAGTTATTCGCGATTTCGAATATTACGATCTGCAATCAACGATCAGCAAGTTACGATATAATTTAGTCTGTAAGATTGTACAAGAGTTTCCGAAGAAGTTTCGTAGCGTATTCTGATATTCTTAGGCCAGTATTTCCTTTATACTCACGAAGACTCAATAATGTATTCCTCCAGTCGATATTATCAGTTCAATACTAGTACTATCCCTTTTTTTTCTTTTTTTTTTCGAACTCACAGATCGTCATCACAGATTATACTCATTTTGTTTTTCTGGGCGATCTGTTTGGGAATGCAGTCGTTTATGATCTCCTATCTTTTTCCTATATACATTATACGAGAGCGTTACGTTTATATAGTATGTGTGTATGTAGCCTACATTTATACACGGCTGTAATAATTCAAACAAGATACGTTTGCGCAGAGTATTTACTCGCTTCATAGAGACGCACTGCGTGCGCAACATTGATCGATTCGCAAGAGAAAAGAAAGGGAAAGGACGGAAGAGTTATAGAGCGAGTTTAAAAATTTTGCTGTGAATTATATGTTAAATGCAAATGCTTGGAAAAAAAAGAAAAGGAAAGAGAGAAATATGATCGATGAAGAAATAAATAAAGGGGCATTGTTACAAGTTACACGGGCTAATAGCTAAAATGTTTCCATGTGTCTATGTGATATACTGGATGTCCATTGCGTGCGTGTGTGTGTGTTTGTGTGTGTGTGTGACGCGTGCATTTTTAAACGTTATACATTGATAAATTCAGTTAAAATCCAAGGCTTCAAAGTTCGACTACTCGTGCCCTGTCACGCGAGAACACGAGCTTCTACTCGCATTCTCGTTAAGACGTAAGACAATAACTTAGATAGACAATGTGTGTATATGTATGTATGTATGTATGTATGTATGTATATATATATATATATATATATATATATATATATATATATATACATACATACACACACATACATACGTATATAGTATAATAGATGTGTGATTTCTGTCACTTGCATTTATATCTTATTGGAAATTGGAAGAGAGTGAAGTGCAAGACCGATGATGCATCCCGGAGGCGTTTATCGGATATCGATGAAGAATCATCACGATACTTTCAAATACTCTAATTTGAGTACTCGGCGTTTTACTGCCAAAGCGTTCGAGATATGAGATTGATCCATTGCTGTCCTTTTTAGTCAAATATTTCAATATTTTTGCGTTCTAAGACTTGGAGGTGATTTCGCCGATCTTTTTCCTTTTTTCATTTTATTCTTTGACGATCGTTCTCTCTTTTTTTTTGAATGACGTGCAATCTTTTCTTTTTATTTAATCAACGCTTATGAGCTAGTTTATAGAGCAAACTAATGAACTCTTTGAAATTTATGTATCATAAGTTAACGTTCGTTCGAGGAAGATCGGCGAAATCTGAGTCTCAGTAGCGATTAGCTTTTAGTGTATTTAGTTTACGAAGTACAAAAATGAATGGAGAACCAACGATCTCTACGATGAAAGTAATTTCAAGAATATATTAAATATAATTGAAAAGAGGGAATATAAAAAGAAGTGCGTGCGATTTAGTAGGAATAGTCGAGCGTATTTGCTTTTCCTTGGGAACGTTCGTAGGCAGGCGGGTGTTCTCGGGAATGGCGATTTTACGCGTCGCACACAAAAGTGAATTAAAGCGTCGATCGATATAAAATAAGATAATATTTATTATTTCATGAAATACAGATAATATATGCCTTTCCCCAATGCCACACTGACGATATACATTCCTTGCTCCGCGCCTCGCTAGGACACTGAACGTTCGAACGTTCGCTTCCCTTTTTTCTCCCTCCCTCGAACCTTTTTTCTCGCCCTGTGGGCAATCGGCTACGATTTCCAGCGAACCGGTAGTGAGCAAGTTTATTGCTGAGTAAAAAGTACGGATTTATCTGCGCGAACGTTTTTGCGTCCTAGCAGTTTTTCTCTCCTTTCACACCTCCATGGAACCTCGCGTTCTTCCTTCTCTTTTTATCCAATCGCCGTCCTGCGATCCTTACTGTCGGTCAAGCGTAATACGATTAACTCGAACATCGGAAAACATGTATGTGGCGCATAAAAAATTTTACCGTAAAATGGTAGTAATGGTAATAAGTTTGTATCGACGGAAACAGCGGTCCCGGAATGTCCCGAAAGTATACACAATGATCAAATAGTATTGCACTCCTGATTCATATAAAATTATGAAACTAAATGTAATTACATTTTCGGTTTAAAATTACATTATATAAATCTAATCGGATGATAAAATGTGATGTGAATCATGAAAAAAGTTGGATGTGAAGCTCGTGAAGAATTACTTTTTTCACGTTAAGGGATTTTGAATTATTTTAATTTCACAGTAAAAAAAAAATTACTCCGCGATACAAGTCGTTATACTGAAAAAAAAAAAGATTTAATAATAGCTATCAAATGTTGAGTGAAATAATTCCACTCAAATATTTGATTAATGTAATAAAAAATAATTTTATTTTTTTAGATATTTAATTTAAGTATTACCAAATGTCTGTTAATACTAAATATCTAGAAAAATAAAATTATTTTTATTTATATTAATCTAACATTAGATTAAAATTATTTAGTAGCTATTTTTCAGTTTTTTTTTTTCAGTTCTTTTACAAACAAAATGTTACGTCCGTGGAAAGAAAATGAAAAATTTCAGACTCCATTTCCGCCGAATGATGTATGTCAGTGATATGTTATCCCCATCGTAATATCATTCTAATTTAACATTCGACTCGCCTACACTTGTAACATTAAACGAGATAACACTTATTAATTTCCCTTAAACTTTACGCGATTACAGTTTCGCAGTTTGCTTAGTTTCTAAGATTCGTAACAAAAATGACGGTTTGCGAACCGGGAGATGATTACGATTGCGTCTAATACAATCAGGGAAGATGTCCTAAATGTCTAAGTATTTTGGCGATCGTATTATTCCGCGATTCGCCTCATGAATGGCCACACCCTCGTCATTTTTTATCTACGGAAAATTAACGGAGGTCGCCCATGTAAGTCTAATCGAGGAAAGATCTCTTTATCGTCACACGCGACTCTCATTTCAACGAATTATAATCATAAAAAATTTTACTCAAATTATCATGATATTTAAGTCATTAAAGGCGTTTGCAGACTCACTTCTAGGCGTCGATTTGTCTTCAACTTTGACACCAATCGCGAATCACTTTGGCGGTCGCATTCGTCATTTCAAATATGATCGGTATACAAAAGGACAGGAATTGTTTTTCACTCAAAAAATTGATGCACCCGCAAGGCTCGTATACGAGCATCTACGATAGATAGGGAGGTGTGTGTACGCTAGGTATGTATATGAATATACATATATGTATGTATGTATGTATGTATGTATATATATATATTTATATATATTGGGAGTCTCTCACGCGGGGCGACTATACCTTGTGCAGCTTGGTTTGAAAGACATCAGGTACATCTCGACGTTTCGTTACGTCAAACGATGATTCGTTCGAGTGATACAAAACGGTACGCTCGATATTAGAATACGTTATACGTAGATTTACATACGTGTATTCGCGTGCCGTTTTTCCCGCTCTTCAGTCGTGTGCATCGATCGCACCGTAGCGGAAAAGCTTATACGTGTACATAAATGTATATGTATTAGTACATACATGTGTATGCATATATAGTCTGTATACACAGCCGTTCCATCCAACTTCAATCGCGGCTCGAACGCGCCTGGAGAGAGCTTTAAAGCGACCATCGATCGTTGCTGTCCTCGCTCCGAATTCGCGAGAGAGCGAGAGAGACGGAAAGACAGAACTCTCTCCCGAGAGTCGAGTGCTAAATAGGACACTGCAATAGCTCACAATACTCTGCGCTTACACGAGATATCACGTCGAGGCTGCACGCTATCAGTGCAATTATATTGGATTAGTCTGCGACTACTTAGAATCTTCAGTCGCAAGAGCAAGCTCGAAAGAAGAGTCTCTCTCTCTCTCTCTCTCTCCTTCCGTGTCAAGGCTGCGAAATGTTATAAAGTTTTACTTTTAAAACAGAAAGAGAGAGATTTCACCCTCTCGACGCGTTATCCAAAGCGTACGCATTGTATTGGAACATAATTGCACTCGCAACTACCATACACGCGGAATGGCACGATGACGCTTGGGAAGCAGGGCGTTCGCGAGAGGATGCCTTCCTCACGAGAGCGTGAAGATCGAAGAGCGCTCCTTTGATCCTTCCGCAGTTTCGATGGCGCTCCTGCGACGTTCTGGTTCCGCAATCAGCAGCACCGGGTTTTTCGGCGGACTATTATTATCATCGCTATCATCGGGCAGGCCGTAGTCGGTGCGGCAGGCGAACGCGACGCTGTTCGCCCTACGTCGCGTCTTGATCTTTAATGTCGCGCTGCTAGACTGCGTCTGATGATGCTGTTGCTGTTGCTGTTGCTGCTGTGGCTGCTGCTGCTGCTGCTGCTGCTGCTGCTGTTGCTGCTGCTGCTGCGATTCCTGCGTCGTCAGGCCGCTACTCCTGCGGCTACCGCGTCTCGGTATTCCGGTCCACGATCTCACTCGAGCCGTGGTGCTGGATGGAACGGCTCGTTCTCAGTCACCCCGGTGTCTAATTTCGGTCGTCGTCGCCGTCTCAACACTGGTGGACCCGCGTTCGCTCGCGGTCGAGTCGCCTGGTCATAAAGGCGCCAGCGTTTTGCCGCGGCGGGCGAGACGGCTTTCCAACCATAGGTACGGCACCACTGCCAGCACCAGAGTCACGGCAAGGCCTAGGACGCGATAACGGGTGCACACCGCGCCGTGCAAACTGAGCGCGAGGGTCAAGCCGAGCCAACGCCAGAAGAGCGACGTGGACAGCGGTCCTTGCCACGCGTTCGGATACAGGCCCATCACCAACGCTGAAAAAGTCAAAGATTGTGAAATCTCTTCTTTGGTTCCCCCCTTTTCTCTTGCTCAAGTTCCCGTCTTGATAAAATTGCCGTTTTTATATTTTAGAAGTCTCTATTGACTTATTACGTTTTTACAAAAATAAACAATTTTTAAGAGAAGTACTAATTAAGATATGCTATCTTCAGTTCAATAGTATTCTCTTCATGCTTTTTCTTCTCACGGATACAAAAAACGATGTCTCGCCTCTTTTGTCCCGTTTTACTTGTCAATAAGCACGCGTGGTTCCGCTGTATAGAATTGGCGAACAGTGCCCGTATTATGACGAGAGGCAGATGCGTGTCAACAAAGCGGAGCCCGGAAATCGCTTTCGAAACTTTAGTTTGGCTTAATCGCAACGATCGAATTCACAGTTTCTGCGAAAAACTATCTTGCAAGCTGTTTTCGTCCAAAATTTCTTTGTTACCTTTGTCCGCGCGTTGTAGAGGTCAAACGAGATACTTACTGTATATCAGAGTTTCCCAAATGGAATTACAAACTCCCCAGGCAGCTGATATAACGTGGAAGAGAGCCGGGTCATCTCCCGTCGGTCTCCAGGTTACCAGAACAAGTAGAAGGCAGGCATGAAAAGCGAAACCCACGACTAGAACGGAGAAAACAGTCTGTTTTGTCCCTGATTGGCGATTAAGTCATTCGAATTAACATGATTGGACCAGACTCATCTTTCTGTGTATCTTTACATTTAATTTTAAATTATTAATTTTTTTACTTTTTCTTTTTTTTTATTAAACTTATCTCTTGATTTGTCTTTGGCCTTAAAGTGCCAATCACTTTATTTTACATATCTATTATTAGATGCTTATTTGGCTGGTCCGACCGTGTGCTCGTCGTTGAATTTGTTTTAGAAACACACTTACCTACGACAAAGTACCTTTTAATGTGCCTCAGCAACATCGAAAGCGTCGCAGCGGCCAGAGCTTGCAGTAAAGCCAAGCTCAGGAAGCTTAAGGTCACCGTACCGGCGCCACCTAAGGCGCATACCACGTATGCCTAAAAAAAACACAATATGCTCTTTAATTAGGGGGCCAATTGATTTTGAAAATATACACCGGTTATAATCGATTTAAGAAAATTTGGAGTCACTCGTGTTACGTTTGCGAAATATTTCAATCGATATGTCGATTTATCACGGAAGGTAAATAATTCAAGATTTTGTTAACGTCTCAGAGAGAGAAAATAATGAAGTATTTTTTACCTCTGTATACAAAATAGTTCAATTAATCGATAGCTATTTTGAAATACTTCTAGGAAGAGAAATTCACTGAATTAGAATAAATATATATATATCGAAATTGTAAATATCAAACGGTTGATTGTGATATTATAAACATCATTTTAAAAAAGCGGACTTTAAAATCACTTACCTCCATGAAATCGGCGTAAATGAAACCTTGTTCCAGCCCGATGAAGAGCGTGAGCGGCGCTGCGAGCTGAAGCTTCGGGTCCTGAAACGCGCATTTAACGGATTTGAAGATGTCTTTGACGCTGGCACGATCGTGGTTCGTCTGAGGTTCCTGCAGCCTAGAATCGAGAAACGCGCAAGATATGCCTAGACCGAGCACCGCCAAGCCAAGCCAGATGCTGACGAGGATTCTCGAAGTGCCAGACGTGATCGTCGGCATGTAAAGCGATTCGTTGTAAAAGTACATCTCTTCCGAACAGTACTCAGCCCCGCAAACGTCGGTGTTCATTATGCTAGATGGTATCAGATCCGTTAGCCTGACGAGAATCGCAGCGATGAGGCAACCTGGGACCATAGAATAATATTACAAATAAATTAGTTGAATCTAAGATATCGGTATATATTAAAAATAAGAGCTATGAAAATATAATTAGTATTAGTATGTACATCAATTATTACGTATATAAATATAAGATAATTAAAAATAAAATATGTAGGTACATATCGAATTACAATAGAAAACTAGAAATAGAGAGATACTTGAAATAGAAATTAAAAATCATTTCTGAGTTAACTTAGAATTTTTTGCAAAGATTATATACAATACGATGTCAAATAAGGTGAAAAGAAAAAATAGTTGCGAAAATACCGATTGCGAGGCCGATATCTTCAGCCAACTTGATTCCCCGGTTGAGTCTTCTCAACAGGCATTCGCGGCGCGTTTCATCGGCGGGATCCTCGGGATCGACGCAGACCAGCGCCAGGCTGGTCGCGGAGACGTTGATGTGCGATGTTCTCGCCAGGAAACTCGAGCTGGCGCAGCAGCCTAACATTACGTAGCTGGGCGCGAGTATGTACCTGGCAATGCGGAATAGAAACGCCATGTATATATACGAATTAATGTTTAGGATATTCCATTTTTATCCGGTAAATTAAATTATCAAATCGTTCCTCGATTTAATTTTTTACTGCTAGAGCACAGAGATTCAACGTTTAGAATTCGCAGCTTATATTCGTTTCGTATAAATGTCTCGAGCTAATACTTGGAATACGGCTGAAAGATAAAAAATTTAGAATTCTTCAAACGATATCAAACCGACGATTGATGCAACGAGTACGATTGTCCACAAATTGAAAATTCGCGAATCAAACGCGATATGATATTTAATTACTGTATACCATTTGGGATACAGATGCACGCCGACGAAGATAGCAGTGACCACGTGACTTGCGGTGATGGCGAGATTCGTGCCGAGCCGTTGCACGACGATGGGTGCGAAACAGCTGGTGGCGGCTGCCATCATGTAGAGATAGGCGAGAAGTACCGGACCTAGACGGGGTTCGAACGCGCCCAAGCCTGCCTGAAGTGGGAAGATGGGCAGCGTAGCGGCCGAGCAACTCGCGTGACCGAGCAGAAGGGCCGCGATGTGGCGCAACACGACTCTACGTGGTGGTCTGGGCCCGGACGGGGCCGCGCGGACCGCTGCGATCAGCCGGCGTACGGACGATGCACCTGCCGATGAGTTCATGGAATCCCGACGTCGCCACGATAGCGCCGAGGTGCGTGTCGATCGGCAGGAGATCGGCGAGTACGCCGCCATGTGCTGGAAAAGTGAAAAAAAGATGAGAAAAAGGCTGAGGAGCGAGGAGGAGGTTTCCCCGCGCGCGCATATTTATAATTTAATACGCGATCGGCGAATCTATAAATCTCGGCCAGCGGAAGCGCTATAATTAATCATCCGATGAAAATTAGAAACGGTAATCCCGCACGGTGCACTCAATATGCGCGACCGCAACTTTTTTAGACCTCGACGTATTTCTACGAATGTAATTCCTTTGGATTTAAATTTAGATCTAGCTGTAAATCTAGAATCTCAGTAAGCAACGTAGAGAGATTAGTTTGACTTTAAATTAAAATCCAAGTTCACGGCTTCTAAGCTGTGCACTTGTACGTGAAAAATGTATGGGTTTGTTTAAAATATTTAAAAACTTAACTGTTAGACTTTACTTGAAAAAAAAAAAAAAACTCCGCTTGAGCGTTCTACATTATTTAATAGTTTTCAACAGAATTACTTTCAGATTTATATATAGCTAAAGATTCTCTCTTCACAGCAAAACTCTTCTTCTCGCATTATGAATCTTAAATCATTTCAACAGTTATCAGAATATTTATAAAGATTAGGACGGAAGCACAGAGTTTTGCATAAAGTATAATAATAAAGCCTAATGAATAAAAAATGAATTGGAGTCCTTCATTTACTTCCTTTTCATGAAATATAAGATACTCCGATTGGTTGATTTTCTTAATGCTCTTTATGCGTTATGCAAAAGTCTGCACTCCGATCTTTGAGATACGATCGACTTAAGCTAGATCGAGCTAGCAAGATCTTTCCAAGTATAACAATCGATCATGTGCTGTTGGTACCTCCAACATGGTATCGTTGTCGCACAGAGTAGAATGATGATGCCCGCTACTTCTTGCACGTTTATGTGTATGTGCCAACGGCGGTGGCTGCGGCGGTAATCGTGCTGGACCAAGACCGCCGATCGGCGCCGGTTTGTACACCGGACTCCCCAGCTTATCCTTGGACAGCTCGTGAAGATTTGGTAAGGAACCCATCGTTATCACTTCGCTATTACTCGTTTGATGCTTCCTCACGCGCGTTCAGATCCCTCGCTCGATCTCATTTCACGATCGGGTAACCGCAGCCACGATCAAAATCTTTCTTATCTGCGAGTTGGTCACCTAGATGGAAGGGAACGGACTTTTTATAACAAATGTAACAGTGCTGATGTAATAGTATCTGTTTTCATACGAATCAAATGTTTCTCATGGATCAATTCAAAGTACAAAGTTAAGAATTTCGCAATATAAAGTTTATCTAAATTTGGCAAGTAACAAAATCGTCTTGTCCTTCATTTAAATCTATTCTATAATGTGCTCTTTGTTTCCTTTTATCTCGGGCGATATAAAACAAAAAATCGGATAAGAAGCAAACAGACAAGATGTTAAAAATAGCAAAAGGCAAGAAACATTTTAGCAACATTGCAGCAATGTTAATTGTAATGTTATAATGTTGTTGATGTGTTCCAAAATGTTTCTTGTTTACTGGGATCTGAAACGCTTGTGTATAGAGAGACTCGATACGGTTTAGAGAAGAAAACACATCTGGTATCATATATTGAAATGAAAATTATTCATCCCCACGGCGGCCTCCTTCAAACGTCAGATAAGGAGTTACTTAATGTCGGGTAAGGAAGTTGAGAATCCCGCGCATCTTGCGTAATTCATTCGAACGATACTCGTCACTCGTGCTAATTAGAGATGGAGAAAAAAAGCAAGAAAAAAATAAAAAAATCGAGAATAAAAAATCGTAGCGGTCACCCGCGCAGCCTTGAACGAGAACTTGCCGAGCGAGAACTAGCTGGCCATCGGCGTAAATAAATGCCGTAAATAAATGAGACGCACTCCGTCGAACGAACGGTTTCGTCCGATTGCGGTGAGCAACGATTGGCGATCGGTAATAATTGACTTAAACCGGAAATCTAGAAGAACGTAAATTTACACGCGGAACGGGTCTGCGATCGCGTCATTCGAGGTTTTAATTAACCTCGGCAAAAAGGGGAAAAGGGGGAAACACATCGATAGAACATCAGAGCGTGATCGTACGACACGCTCGATGCAAACACGCCGATTGTTATCTGCTTATGCAACGTGAGCCTGTAACATAAGTACCTGCTTTACACGCACACCTCCCCTTAGCAACGCTATGTGGCTATCTGTTATCAGACGATCTGACGAAACGATCGGATTTACTTCTTGTTTCTATTCGTATTTTAATTTGTAACTGTCATTTGTAACTGTCCCTGGATTAGCCTCGCATTAGTTGAGCTAATGACTGGATTAATCTCGCGTTAGTTGAGCTAATGGGAATCTCATCTTGGATAAGATCGGAATAATAACATTCCAATTATCGCTCGTAAAATAAATGGAATTTTCAAACTACGAATTAGAGTAGCTTCAAAGTGAAGTAATTGGCATTCGTCTCTTCTTCGTTTATATTTCTGTGTCGATGCCACGAGGCGATTCGTCTCTGAGTCTGGTTAAACATTCAGCGGCGTCAATTGAACTTTGTTCGAGTTGACATTTGCTGAGCGAGATCATTTGAGGAGTTCTCAATAATTGAGAGGAAGTTTCGCAGAGTAATCAATAGTTTTAAAAGCGATTTGGCTGGCTCGACAACTCGAGATTCACAGTCGACTATTCGCATCTCTCTCGATTGTAGATTCGATTCGTTCGTTCGATTCTGTCGGTCTACCGTTATTTCGACGAGCGTGCTGCACGCAATGGCAGAACTCCAACGCGTGGGAATCTATCGAAAAAAAAAAAAAAAACTTGCCGCTAGGTGGGTGTAGCCGGTAGACCGAAGGTGAACTAGTTTTCACACGTAAAACTGTTCATCCGGTAACATACGACTCACATTTTCGCGGAATCAGTGGGAGAAATTCAAGACCGGAGGGGAAGGAGAAGAAGAAAAAGATGCATAATCAAATCAGAAGTAATGTAAACTGATATAATGTGATTTTCTTGATCGAACATGTAAGTACAAATGAATAGTAAGATAGGTCAAACACGAGCTTAAATAGTAAGACGATAAAGTTGATTAGACATTAATCTATGTCATAAAAGATGTAAGAGTTTTTTACAATAATTAATAAATGGAATGTTTCGACTTTACTTAGTCATCCTCAGCCATTACAATAATAAGAGTTATATGCATAAGATTAAAACGTTGTTGGCAAATTATTAAAAATAAAATTAAATATTGAAAAGAACGTAGAAAACTAGTCAACGAAATCATATCAAAGGTTGGGCAATATACTAGTAAATAAATTGTTAAAAATTAAGTCTTCTTTACGATAAGAACTGTCAAAACTTTCTTCGTTTACCTTTAAAGGTGAAAAAAAGTGAAATCAAATGTATATAGATCTTCTTCTGATATAGTACTCTTTAAATTCTTCAGAATGAGATCTCACTCTTGAAGATGAAAAATGTTGTCGCTCTTTTTTAATACTGGCAGAATGTTCGCTCTTTGAGTAAAAGTAAAGTGAGATTCCATTCTAAAGGAATTTTAGGGAGTGAAAAATCTAATAGAACAAAACAATTATTCGTATATGAGGAGATATGAGAAAAATGACCGATGTCGATGGAAGACGGAGAGTCCTCTAAGGAGAAACGGTCTCCGATAGTTGCGGTTCTGGCTGTTTCCGCCATTCAGGTACCCTGAAAACCGACGGGCGCGCATCGCAGCTGCATTGTGTGTGCGGTATTCACTGCGTGGATGCTGAATGCATCTCGCGGCGTTGCAACGACGTGCGTCACAGGGGAAAATGCGGCCGATGCGACACGATGCTGAATCGATATTTCGTTTTTCAGCACTGTCCGCGCTCCTGACCTTGGTTATTATTCTCGCGTCGGCCCACGTAACGTTAAAGCTGCCGATAATTACGTGGGCTTGCGTCGCTGGACTCGGGAAAGAGGTACGACGAATGAGAATGAAAAAAATGCAGCATACTTATTACCCCGCGAGGTCCTAAAGAGACCCAGCAATCGCAACGGGAGAAAAAAAAAATTGGACGACAGGATCCTTATTTTCGAAAATCTCATTTTCTAAGTAATGCCAATTAATTTTCTTCCCACGGGAAATAATGTTGACCCTTAGTTGTCGGGAAGATACTGAAAAATATCGATGATTTCACGTTTCTTCGTGTTCCGCTGCCTTTCGACTGGAATACGATTATTTCAGCGCCTGATCGAAGAGGACAGCCGCGCGCAAAGCAGGGTTTATTTTTCACGCTACGTTACGCACGACGGTAATAACGTGGCTGTCGGCGAGCACAACCGAAGACAACGGAGTGATGCAGCAGTTTATCGTGCATACACACGTACAACCGAATACCGTATATCCGGACGAAACGTCGGGGAGACGATTTTAAATCTTGTTCAAGAAATCAAAGGAATCGTAGCGATGATAATGGGATGAAAGGTGCGAGTTCAGCTTCAAGGGAGCTTACGTTTTCGCGCTTACGCAGCTGCCCGGCCAAACAGTCGCCATGGTCCCCGCCGACTAGGAGCTGCCCAAATTCAACCAGTTGTTTCGCAATGGATCGTCACGGAGCGTGATTGCCCCTCGTAAAACCAAAATTGTTGCTCTCATCCCGTGCAACAGCTACGAACTCTGTCATCAATGTTGCAACGCGAATGTCGTCTTTGCACGTATTTAGAACCTAATCGAAGACACGTCGCGTCTTAAACGATAACGACGTAAAATCACAATTAGATCCGCGGCACTCGCGAGATCCCAGAGTCGACTCGATGAATCATCGCTGCGACTTATATTCGCATCCCAAAGTTGGACGTCGGATATCACCCTGGGATTCGATAGAATATTCGGTCATACGGAGCGAAGCTTGACGAACGAAGCACTCGTCGTGTAAAGATAATGGACGCTCGCCCTGCTCTGGGACTGAAATCAAATTGAATTCGCGAAGTCGCGCATTCGAACAAATCGGCACGAATGGATCGTCAACTTAATGCACCTGCGAAACGTCGATGATTATTGAACGCGACGTGACGACGAAGTCGATCTCCGCGTCGCGAGTAGATTGCCATGAATCACGCACGAATACACCACGGTGTAGTCACTTTAAGGGCGGCCCGTCATAATTAATATTAACAATGAGCTGTGTTAAATATGAAGCACACGAAATGAAGAAAGACGCGAAAGAAGCGATCAATCAGATTGATCCCTTTTCGAGGAGGTGCGCGGGAGGTTTTAGCTCCAGATTTAATTGATGCTCCTCTCTACACCCACGAGTGAGTCACGCAGGGATGTCAGATCTCTGGTATCCCTCCGGGAGATGTAAACACAGTCCGAAATTTCTGCGAAATTCCGATCCTCTCTCGTTTCGATATCGTACGAACTTGTCTTTCCGACTTCGTAGACGACTCGTAGACGACTCGCGAATGGACCGAGTCGCGAATGCGAGTTCGCGAGGGGATCGCGACGGACGGTAACCCGAAATATACCGATCAGCAACAGGATCCAGATCCCGGGCCGACGAAGGGACGACTCGCAGAGAGGCTCGCCTCTCTGTATCCGCAATTCGGTGTCGCTCGGTTCTGCTCGAGCCAGCTCGGCTCGGCCTCCTCTTCTGGTCGATAACAGCAGAGAGTGCGTACTGAGGGCGCGTTCCTTTGATTCCCACCGAATCTCTCCCGAGTGCAATTTCCCTCCGAAAATCTTGTCCCAGCGCGCGAAAAATACTACCGCTGATTGATCTTAATTGATCAATTAACGGAGCCGTTATTGATATGATCATCGCACGATTCGTTAGACTTTGTTTTCACATCGTGACATAAAAAGGCCGTTGGCTCGTTGTGCAAAGTTACAGCTTGAAAATTATAACTTGCGAAAGGGGACGTGAATTCGTTTGAATTATTAAGGAATACAAAAAATATTCACATAAACGCGTTCAACGGCAATTAGACGCGATACGTGCTACTTCCGTTTCGGAAATAAAGCTCATCGACGAGCTTGGATTAATTTATAGTATCGAAATCCCGTGTGTGTGTGTGTGTGTGTGTGTGTGTGTTAAAAATTAGGTCGGGGTCACACGTGAACGATATTAGATCCCGTAATCCGTATTTCCAAGCCACTAATTACCTGCGTTGTTTGCAGGGACGAAGGTTTCCGCTCGCGAATCTAACGGCCTTCCACGGATATGCACGCGTCGCGAGCGTTACATCTTTCGATGTGCAGTGATGCAGTTCATTCTGTCGTTGACAGTAACGTCGATTGTCGCACCTGTCACGCGTAGCTGTCACGTTTTGCAACGGGAGAAAAGTTGCAAAAACGAGCGCGAAGTTGAAGGCGATTCGCCTGTATCGGCGGATCGTAAAATTAATTGAATTGGTAAAGGAAAAAGAGAGGAGGAGAATGCACTGTTTAAATTATGACAAGAAAGAAAGTAAAAACAACTAAATGAATCTGTAATATTTTTCTAAAAAAGATTTTACGATATTCTCTCTCCTCCTGTTCTTTGTACTCAATAATTCGATAATCAGAAAAAAGGATCGACAGACGTTTAATCATTATCGATCAAATCTGAATTTATTCAGACACTTCAATGCTGCATTTTTAAGCTTACATTTGACTTGGCAACAAAATTTCATCCGATTATATCCGACTGTACGTCCTCCAACGATTTCAAAATTGAAAGATTCGACAGGAGATTGTAAATCTATCAAGCAGCACACACGTTTATGATATTATTAATCTATTCATGTATTCAAATTTATCACAATTATTATACAATAATATAGTATTATAGAGGACTATGATTATTGTATAATAATTAATAATTATTATAATTAATGAAATAAAAATTCTCGGAATTAACAGTAAAGTATTTATCGAGTAAACAAACATGAATTTTCCATATAAGATAAAATCCTAAATCACGAACTTGTGAACAAGGATGAGCCGAGTTCTCGAAGCAGAATGGCGCGATGAATAATCATGGTATGCGATATTATCCCATTTAGCTTGTCCCGAGGACCACGTTCTCCGATTAACGATCGCGATCGCGATCACGACGTGCAGCAGGACATGCGCGTCCTGCTGCGGCCGCCTCTCAAGGCGAGACGACAAACCGCCTTTGTCATTATACAGCGGTGAGCTGTGACACACGAGAGAGGTACGGGGAAGTGTGTCAATGTTACGGCGATCGCATGCCAGGTATCTATGTACTTAGGTTGGTGCGTGCCGCTCTTCGAGCCGCGGGGTTAATCACCTCGTGACGCTCATTGTGCTCGTGGCGATGAATCGAGGACCGATTATTCCTTGCAGGCTGGAAGTGATCAGCGATCGTAGAAATTGCCAGACTGTTTCGCAAGCTCGAAATAAAATTACGGGATCGAGTTACTTAAGTCGAGGTCCTGCAAAAAAGACCAATGTAATTATCATTCAAATATACCGAGATCACGTTACATTCTCGCGTAAGCGAGATTATATTCTCCAAATACGGCATACGTTAATTATCCGGATGAAACACCGGTGATACACATCTTTTGCTTTCAATGCGCGTGACTTGGCGCTCCGAAGGACTCTGCCGTTTCCGCGACGCGACGAGGCGTCTCCGCGTTCCTCTCCATGCTGTTCTCCCATGTCGTTTTCCAGCAGCGATGATGTAACGAGTAAGGTACAAGCGGTCAAGTTGCTGCGCGACCTTGAAAATCGAAGATCGAGAGTATCCCCGCCGTCGATGCCGATGGTAGTGGTGGTCTCCCACCATGGCGAAGTGTAGTTGCACGTGTACACCATATCGCGAGTCCTGTCCCCTTCTTCCTTCGTTAGACGCACGGAAGGAAGGCCTGATCCTTGGACACTTTCTTATAAATGTACGTTGGTCACCAGCTCGTACCTCATTTGACGCTTCACCCTCCTGTACGCGGAGGGTTCGATCCGCGGGATCGTTTTGTTCTCTTATCATCTGGTTCCTCGACTTCCCTTCGTCATCGCGCGTCACGCTGACGTCCAGGCTGGAGAAGTGGATTTCTTTCAATTTTTTTCTGGAATTTAAGATTCTCGGTTTTACTCGTTGAAGGATACTTGTGAGTACTTTTTTAGCTAAAAAATATAAATTTTCGACAGACAAGTCAGAAGCAGCAATCTTGCTCGTCTTTTCGAGCAAAGAACGTGTAAGTTTCCTCACAGCTTTCCACTTGTTGAGAGGCGAATGAGAAGCTTGCTGTATCGGCAAACCGATAAAATATTTGCTGAAAGAAGTTTAACGTAAAGATATTATGAGGTTTTCTTTGTTCTGTTTTATTCCGGAGATTTAGGTCGAACGTTCTTTCTTCTAGCATAGCGATATCTTGTATCAGTGCCCCTAAACTATGCCTTCCTTTCAGTCTCTTTGATTATTCAATTCTAACAGAACTCGTTCCGACAGAATTTCAAATATTAAAATCTGATTTGTCGTATACTTTTACGTTACAAGGAAATCAACTCTGAATTAGCTAAAGCGATCGTTTTAATCGATTTACAATCGGCGAGGATTTTGACAATTGAATTGGGATTAGAAATAAAAAGTAATAAAAGTATCGAGTGAACATGCGAAGAAAAGATACATAGAATTCTGAACAATACATATATGTTTTGTAATACAACGATATACAACACAAAGGATCGTGTTCACGAACAGCTGTTTGTTCCGCACTGCTTGTGAAAAAATATTTGGAATGTCAACAGAACAGGAATATAAATCCGCGCAATGTATATCCATGCATGAATAATTAAATTATGTGTTTGTCACCAATTTTTATTTACAGAAAATGTGAAATATAAAATGAATTAAACAAATCTATTATTTTTACCGACGATATATTTTTCAGGGATTTTTTAGAGACATTATTTTTCCTCAAGATTATCCTAAAATTCAAATTCTCATCCGTAATCCGTATTGAATAACAAATTTTTTTTCTCATCGCATGCGATTCTCATTCTCGACTCTCGCTCTCAATCGTAATCTCAGTGGTCTCGGCGATTAATTAATTAATGTGAATGCGATTATCGCCTCTGCTGTTATTCTGCCGCTGTTCCGCGCTATTTACGAGGCTCGTAACTCGTGATACGCCTTTAGAGGCCCGTTAGATCCGCATCCAATCCGGGATGCCGACGCACGTTCTATCTATAATGTCCATTCAGCCTTCAACTTAGCGCAGGTCTCTAATTAAAACTCTATCGCGATCGCTTTGTTAATCGTAGCTTTGTAGATCGTACGATTTACTGTTATACATCTCTATTAAATATTCATGCGTTTCAAATATTAAAAAATTCACGTAAATTACCGATTGTCCTAACATCTATTTCGTGGTGTCAGTCTCATTGCATTGTCTTCAATTTCGCGAATGTACGTACGTCTAAATATCCTATTAATGACAAATGTATGCTGATAAGCAAAAAAAAAAAAAAAAGTATCCACGTGTAAATGTTCGTAAGATGCAACGAACGCTAAACTTAGTAAATTATTCGAATAATAACGGATGATAAATGTACACCGCGTAAATCCATTCAGTATCGTAAATTGGATTCGTGAAACTATGAATCAGACAGTTTGTAAGAAATAGTAATAATCGTGGATTTGTTAGTTAATTTTTACGTAACATATGCTTATTAGGTATTATACGAGAATCCAATACATCTTCTAATAGCGTATTAATTGATATCAATGAATTGACATTCATCCAGAATAGTTAGTCCGCTTACCTACTTAGTTACTAGTTATTCCTGCTACTGTACTTATTGCTTCTACATGGAAAGAATAGTTTTGTTGAAGCATCTATAAATTTAGCTAGATACATATATATTGAAAACATATAATTAAAACAAACGCGGTTCATAAATCAAAACTTAGAAAAAGAAGAGCATAAAATCAGAGCACAAGATATTGTTTGTGATATTTAATGTATTATTACATTAATAAAATATTTTTAAGAAATATTAAAAATCTTCTTTTTCTAAAAATTTATATTGAAAATATTTTTGTTGGATCAAAATAGTTATGTAGAACATTCGAATTGCTTGCTAGAATATCAAATTTTTTTGCAGTGCTATCATCATGCTTAATCATCCTATTATTAGATAATTGCTTCGTCTATAACAAAATTACTTTCAGATCTGTATCTAAATTTTCAAATACCAATCGTTCTCCCCATAATAATTATAATCACTCGCGTTTTTCTTTACGCAATTAAATTTTCTTTTATTCAGAGAAAGAAACGAAAATCAAATTACGATATCGAGGACAGTGCTGCTCGGGAATTTAATCGTTAACGCCGGAGATTTATATTTTTCATTTACTCTCGGGTATAAAACTTTCACCGAAGAAAGGTCGCCGCCGAGACTCGTAAGAGCGCTTTGCACGCTTCGCGGAACACATCCCGTATAAGCGACGACGGTGTCCGTCGCCCCGCGGAATCTCTCGAGTGACGCTGGAAAAAATCATTAAATCCAATCGGCCGGAAAACACGGGAAGCTGCTCCCTTTTTCCTCCTCCCCTCCCCTCCCATCCCCGGGGAAAGCGAGACGGCGAATGGCTTTTAATCGATCGGCGACGCGCGCGAACTCTCCTCTCGAGGCGATGTATATAAATAATGTATCGAAAGGGAGAGCCGAGTGAACCGTTACCGTAAAAATGTACGTTATACTCGAAAATCAAGGCCTTGCAAATCGAGGCCCCCCTCCCCTCCCCTCCCCCCCAAATCGCGAAAAGAGATTCGCGGATTTATGGACGGCGGATTGTCTCGTCGACAGTCTCGACGAACGAAATTATGATAGATATGTATCTCCAGATATACATGCAGTTTAAATATATACATTCAAATCACTCGTATTCTGCATAATTTGCTGTTTATTGTTCTTCGTGTATTACTCGTGCGTTATTCGAGCAGGATGCGTCCATCGTTCCGCCTTGACGCGCTCCTCCTCCTTTTTTTTTTGTTCCTTCGTGCTAATTGCTGACAACGCGTGAGCGCACAGCGCATAAATACAGTGAGGTTCTGTATTGCGAAGTGCGAGTCTGCATAAATAGATTATCACGAATTGTAATATTTGTAAAATATGCCAGTGGACAAAAAATAGATTTACGTAGAAAGACATTTTCAAAGATTTTTCGAAGCGACGATTCTCATCTATCTATAACTGTGATATAATAGAGACGATAGTTGAATTTTATCTGGAATCTACGATTCCAGAGACGAGTTTCTACGAACGTGCAATTACAACCGTTCATTAACCATAAACAGTTTTCGACGCGCCCGTCTGTTCCGCTCGTCATTACGTTGACGTTGCGGAACGGATTTTTATCTATCATTTAAATATCCCTCTTTTAATTGGCAATGATGTAACACAAAATAACTTCTGCGTAATAAGATATAAATACGAGCTATATTTTATGATGTAAATTATAGCTGTTCCTTTCTCTAAGATATTGCAATAACACATCATATATTCGTGTTTTCCGCGTTTCGCAATTTACTATAAATCTGCAAAATCATCTTCGAAACGCAATTAAAGTCCGAATCCCAGTTAAGAATTCTTTTAAATCTCTGATAAATATTACAAACGATTAAATTACTAGCCAAAGCCTTACATTAATTAAACCTTTTATCACACTTTGTTATTATTTCATATCATTTTCATATCCTTTTTGTGAGAAATCCAATGAAATTCTGCGAACATTGGTAAGATAATTTCAATCCTTCGAGGCATGGAAGGCAATTAAGTTTGAAACTTATTCGGTCTCCGAGATATTAATTACAAGAAATAATTTAAAATAATCTATGATTGGCAGACAATATCGCATCAATATCTTAAATTTTTTTCTTTTTAATGTTAGAACTTACTTATCAACATTTATTATTTACTAAAAAGACCAAGCGAATAAATTACTATAAAAAAGTGATGGAAAAACTAAATATTTTTCGTCCAGTTTGAAAAATATGGGAATAAATTTATAAATATCATGGATTGTAAACCATTAAATCCACTCTATATTTTTTTAAGTATCAGTAAGAAAGATGTAATTATTAAAAATTAAAAAAAATTCAGAATCCTATCTTTTACACAAGGAAAATATAACATTAATCTAAAAATCTCTTATATAAAGAGATCAATGAAAATTAAATAATTCCAATAAAAAGTAAGCTTCCTTATTACGCAAATTTCTTATCCGACGGAGTCGACTAATCATGGATACGTGTCGTGTAATGTTCAATGATGAGATAATACGCGTAATAATAATAATAGCAGTTATCTGGCCCAATGAAAATAAATTGTATATAATGTATATTACATAAAGTAATTTAAAGTTATAATCATTCTCATGATAAAGGCGTAATTGTGAGCGACTTTTTCGTTCAAATTATCCCCGCACGTGCAAAATAGACGCAGAATCTCTGCTCATGCCAATATTATTATTACCTCGGGAAGATTCCGCGAAAAGATACAGCGTGTAATTTCAAGTAGTACACTCGCTTATTACAAACGCTATTTACGATCTATCTATCACCGTCGCACATGATCGCAGCTAAAGATTTTTACATTAACAAACACAATCATAATAATCTCTCGATAACTTCTTGCCTCAACCCTTGCATGATCAATATATAAATCATGATGATCAATATATAAACCGCGCTCGTGCCCTTCAACTTTCCGATAGTTTGACGACAAATCATCAAGACGGATATCATATTGACTAAGGCAAATAACTATGCTTTGCTTGCTTATCGTTAGCTGTATCAGCATACCGTTCGCGCGTGTAATTACAGCGGATTGAATTACAGATTCGTAATGCTTCTCTGCATCGAGCGGACCTCATCATTGATAGAAGCAGTTTCTTGAGACTCGATCGAAGCCGTTGCGAAAAACTTTGTCGATGTTAACGCAAACATTTCGAGACTGTGAGACCAGTTTTATCGTCAAGTTTACACCTTGACATTCACCAATGGTCATCGACTGATTACGAAAAAACCAATTTTTCAAGCGTGACTAATCGCACTTTTTTTATGTCGATATCGGAATGTTCATGCCATTCGAAACATTCGGCGAGTGGTCACTTCGGCTCCTTCATCGATCTCTCGTTTCTTCAAAAATATCTTTGTCATCTCTACGTCCGTCGCTTTGTTAAGTGAAGCGTGATATAGTTTTTGTTCATGATCGATTTACCTATGACGTTCTCGTTTAGCTTCGTCAGCTCCGTCTTCGTTTCATTCGCCTTACGTAATTTATCAAATTAGTTCGACGTAAATTAATATAATGTGAATTAAAAGAGAATGTAGAATAATTAGGAAAATTTAATTACATGAAAATTAAGAGTTAAAGATCAACTAACGCACGTCGTTGATTTAATATTTTTTCGCCTAACGAATTAAAGCGTACTGTTTTATCGTGACGTGAGTTGTATGTTACTATTAATATTAACGATACATACGAATGATAATATTCGTTCTATCTCAATGATTTTGGTTCAAGGTAATCCGGTACGAGGCTAATGTCTTAAGCTTCTCATACGCGTACGAGAATATGAGCTTTTCAATTCGCTTTTCATAATTCTTCCCTCCTCATTTCCTCCTTCTCTAAAGACGACACTCATGCGCGTGTTTATTAAAATGATGTCAACAAAATTACGATAATAATGACTGTCGTGTAATTTTTGTTATGCGAGATTGCACGTGTCAGTCGCGGCACTCGTCGTCGTAATAACCATGGCGTTGATTCTTTTAACCTTTTTAAGAGGTTATACTTTAGCAAAATGTCACAATGACGTAACGAAATATATAATCTATGGCATAACGCATATCTTTAACGTAGCCAAATAGTTTTATATATATATTGGGTCATCTAAAAAGTATCCGCGGTTTTTTGTCACTAGATATGTCGACCATCAACATCATCTAGTGACAAAAAACCGCGGATACTTTTTAGATGACCCAATATATATATATATATATTCAGCCGCAATGTTTGTACATACAATTGCTTACCTCAATTTGTATACAAGGCATTACATTATCCTACAAATTAAATCATTGATAAACTACATTTGAAAATACACACACGATATACACATTCCGTATAATTAAAGTGACAATTTAACAAAGGTCTGCGCGTTTCGTAACATTATTTGCAGAAAATTTTCCTACAAGGTGACGATTATTTCTTACAAAGAGTACATGCAACATCTGTATTCAATTAGACCGTTCTCTTCCGCTTGTGTCCCGGACCCGGACTCGTCTGGCACTGGTGAACGTGTCACGCGGAACCCGCTCGCGTCACTCGCTTACTTTTAGGGTCGATGCAACGTGCCGTTCAACGTGCTTCTCGCGGAGGCAATTGCATTATTGTACACATAAATCGCACCGGCGCGGTGCGGAGACCTTGAGCGATTACCGACACGATTACTGACCGGTGTAGCCGCTACCTCGGTCAGGATACAGAAATTATCAGGTGTACAAATAAGTTTCCGCCGTTTGACCAAAGACGGCGCCACTAGCAAGCTGTGGTTAAAATTGTCTGATGTAAAACATTATATCGTAAGGTTGGACATCTGTCAACAACATAACCTTGAAATACTAGCGATTTCGTATCAGCATCGTATAGTTTTTTTTGTGCGAAAATGCCGAGTTTTGAGCCGAATAAGCGTCATTTGCGGGAACTTTTGATTTACTTCTTTAATTTGAAGAAATCTGCAACTGAGGCTGCCTTAAGTGAGAGAAGTTGTCGTGAATTGTTTCAAAAATTTAAGAACGGTGAATTTGACGTCGAAGACAAAGAACGTAGCGGAAGGCCGAAAGTGTACGAGGACGCGGAATTGAAAGCATTATTGAATGAAGATTCGTGCCGAACGCAAAAAGAACTTGCACTTACATTTCGACTTACATCAATAAAACATTATGTATCGTTCTTTCACAATAAATGCTTAATTTTTTTGATGAAAAAACGGCGGAAACTTATTTGTACACCTAATAAAATACTACTGTGTCGATCGATCGCGAATAATAGAAGCTGTTTCGTAACGACAGTCTTCTCGCCGCGTTTCCGATTGCGATTCTCGTGTAGTGTACCGTTTTGGCGATGAACGTAGGTGACTGATGATCAGCATCTTTGATGTTTATAAACGATGCGAGCCCTCAGCGAACGAGATAGAATAGCATTATTTCCTTCTGAAAAGATCAAGTGTAATAGCGTTTTCTAAGAAAAGTACGTCAGATATCTAACAATCGAGAATTTCTTACGATGGGAATTCTTAAAAATACGATTCCCAAGCCAGGCGCGATTGAAGATGCTACGAGATTCTTATGGAAACGACTCGTAATTCAATTCGGCGTAATTTATTGCGTGCACGCGTACAACGTTTATCCGCATTCTATCCGACTAATAGCAAGCTCGCGGATAAAAGTGTCGATTGCGCGATAGCTGATATCTTCGCCGACAAACGCGACAGCTATAATTCTCGTTGTATGTTAATTATATAATCTTGCACGGCACGCAATCTTGTAATGTGAGCAGAAAAGAATCCTTCTTTGTGATATGCATTTTCCAGATCAAGCGAAGATGTTGCACTGGATAATGCAAAAATCTGCGTTTCTCTACAAGCCTTACGCGTTGGCTCTAATGTCAGTCGGCTATATCGTAGCAGAATTGGGCCATTTTCTGATAGGTAAGTTCTAATGGTAGTTTCCTTCATATAAATCTAATTCACTCTCCAGAACTCCTAAAGTAAATCTCACTCTTAAAAATAGAAAACTGATCCACTCTGTTTCAAGACTTTCAAGATTGGTTTAATTTTTTACTCCGTAGAATGAAATTCCAAAGAATTTAGAGAGTACGTATACGTTATATATTAGTCAATGGATCTAATCAGCTGTGCGCATTGATCAATTTCTCTTTCCATGTGTTGATAATTACATGCGTTTTCAACGTATCTGATTTGTTCATTAAAACGACAAGGTGTGACGAGCAAAGCGGTCGCCGAGAACTTGCACTACGGTGACATATCCTGCCAATTTAATTCGACGACGCTGACGGTGGCCGAACTTCCGGTGCCATGCGAAAGCGCGAAAAATTCTACCTAGTAAGTTTTGTCAAATATCACCCGCTCGAAAAAAATTCCAGTTGGAAAAACGTTTCGCCGAGAGACTCACGTGTAACTGTAAGCACAATTAGCTTGGATCGCCGTTTCCTCTCGCAACTCGATTTCCTTGTAGGAGATTGATTCACCGCGCGTGGCTTGATACCGCTAAATCACGCATCGATAATAAAAACTGAGATACTGTTACGAAATGCTTGCGAGAAGACACGCGACTCCATGAGATTAATCGTTAACGTTCCAGAAAAATTACTATAAGTGCCGCAAATAATTTTTCCCGTGATTCACGATGTGAGATGAATCTTCGCGTAAACGAATTGTACGATAATTTGCACGATAATTATATGAATCGAGCGGATCGAGGTCTTGCCGTACACCAACGCAGCAATTATCGCGTGCGTCATTACGCCGCGCTTTCGCTCGATCCCCTCATATAAACGCTCTTTGTTGCTACAGCTGCCAATCCCTGGAATTGAACGGGTCCTATTACTGCGAGTGGAATTACAATGGCCTCGGTCTGGACTATCAAATCTTGGCGGGGCCGAGCTTCATCGCGGTCTACACGATCGTCGGTATTATCCTGGGAGTCGCGGCTGACAAATACAACAGGTAAAATCAATTTATGATGTTTCCCAGCAAGAGCCACGGTGCAACGCAGTTCATCGTTTCATCTCTTTTTTAACAAACAGAATTTTTGCAAACAATAAGGATATAACGATTCACTGTTGTCCGTATCTCTTGCTGGAAAGCTGCACCTATAATTGCGCGAAATATATTTGCTACATCTTTCTCCGTTACAGAGTGAAACTGCTGACCGTCTGCACTGTAATATTCAGCGTTGCAATCATCTTAAGCGGTGCTGTGTTTGAATACTGGCAGCTCGTTATTCTACGAATGCTTCTGGCGGCGGGGTAAGTCCTGGTAATATAATGGCACTTCCACTTCTGATTGTTCGTTCGTAATTAACGAATGAACGAGTTACGATCACGTCGTTATGTTATGTTATGTTACATTAAAATCCGAACGAATATTGCAGAGAGGCGGGATGCAATCCGTTGGCGACTGGTCTTCTGTCAGACTGGTTCTCGGAAGAACGACGGGGCCTCGTCATGTCCATTTTCAATTGGGGCATTTATGGCGGTTACGGCATCGCCTTTCCGGTCGGTCGGTACATACCTAGTCTGAACGTCTGGGATCTGGTGAGCTAACATCCATTGATAGACATTGTCTCCTTTGTGCTATTTTCTCCTTCTCTCTTTCTCCCTCTTTTCGCATTGGTTTTCAAAGCCAGCGTGTTCCGGCGAATAATTGCCCGATATACATCCTGAAATCATTTCCGCGCGGAAGGAAAGCATAATGAAGGTTACAGTAAATTGCTTCGATAGTACAACAGATCATTTCCGACGATGGTATGAAAAAAGATGTATATACAAATTAAATTATTCTGGATTAAATACTGTGTGTGTATGTGAGACACAAATACGTAATATTAGCGAAGGAATAAATTAATTAAAGTATAGAGACAATTAAGAGTTAATTAAATTGAGTTATTAATTAACAGGGCTGGAGAATCTGTTATTATGAAGCCGGAGTGCTCGGCTTAATCATCGCCGCCCTCACCGGTCTGTCGTTAACAGAACCGAAAAGGAAGACGATCGGAGAGGAATCGACTAACGACGGAGAGCGACTATCGGTTTGGAAAGTACTACTGCAACCGCGCATTGTTCTTTTATGCCTCGCCGCCAGCATCAGACATAGCGGTAAAAGGCAATACCTTGAAGCGAAAGGATTGACATACATATCGAGGGTATATTAGCGATCTATTCGAGTTTGCACTAATTCGGCGAATTTGCCTTGCCGTGATACTTTCTTCTCTTTGAATACACTTTAGCTAATAAAACTAAAACCTATGTTTGAATTTCGTCAATTTGAAGAAGGAACGAGTCAAATCTGACTTAAGCTATATAGCCTGTCTTTGAAATTTCGGAATTAACTTTAAAATATTCCACACTAATTATATAGAAAATTAGATCTCGATGAAATAAGTCAGTTTCCACTTATAATAATGGTGAATAAAAGATATCGTAAACACAAGACTCAATAATGGATTTTTTCTTAATTATAGTGTATCAAATGCTCTGTGAGCACAAGTTTTACATTTTGAATAAGCCTGTCTATTATTGATTTCATTATTGAACCTGATGTTCTGTGACACATCATTTTGTTTACCATATTATAAGCTACATCAAGTGTGAAAAATCATTCATTTCACCGGGATCTAATTTTCCATATAATTAGCTTTTTATTTCAATTATCTAAAATTATTTTATTTGATCGTAATTAAATCGTCAACATAAAGGGACGATCATCTTTATTCTTTCCTATCAATAAATCTACTTCCTTCTTCGATCATGCTATTTACTTTCAATTTATGTCACAATCTTTTTTTGAATTGCGCGTACTGCTTTACGAAAACAGGATTTTGTCGCTTTTTTCAGGCGGTTTGTGTTTCGCTTACAATTGTGATCTATACTACAGAGACTACTTTCCGGACTACGATCTCGGCTGGTGGCTTTTCGCCGTCACAATTGTCATCGGTAGTCTGGGCGTTGTGGTTGGTGGATTAATTAGCGACAAGATCGTAGCAAAAATGGGAATTCGTTCGCGTGTAGCGTGTCTGGCGATCAGCCAGCTAATCGCAACGCCGTTCGCATTTGGTTCGGTGTATTTCAATCCTCTTTGGGCAATGATAACACTAGGAATCTCTTATTTCTTCGGTAAGAATTCTTCGCTCTAAATTTCCAAGCTCAAACATTCCGTAAAATATCAATACATATTTTACGCAGCAATTGCCTTTAAATTCAACGATCGTTTTATTTGCAGCTGAAATGTGGTTCGGAATAGTGTTCGCTGTTGTGGTGGAGATTGTTCCTCTGAAACTGCGATCAACAACCGTTGGCGTTTTCCTGTTTGTCATGAATAACATTGGCGGAAACTTACCAATTCTTGTCGAGCCTACCAGAATAGCCATCGGTTTCCGGGAATCGTTGTATATTTTTTACGCTGGCTGCTACGGCATCAGTAAGTATATGTAACGGAATAGGAAATTAATTCTTATTGTCGCCGTATAATCGTTTGTATTTGCAATCGCTTATATCATTGAATTTTTTTATAGAAGTTTCAACACAGGAAACAAGAAGCATTCCAATTGTAATGTTGTTAGAATGTTTCAAAATGTTTCTTGCTATTATTAGGAATGACTTTTATAGAATCTTGATTTTTATTATCATACCTTATTATATATACAACATTTGACGAATCTAAACAGCCATGAGAACGACTAGTAAAATTGCTCTGGCGAGTCTTTGACCAGGAAAAAAACGTGTAGTTGGACGATAATATCAGACTCTTTGACGTAGGTTCCATTATGTTCTTCTTCACCATGTTCCTAATGGACGGTCCCGCGGAGGTGGAGAGAAAAGTGGACAAGGAGGCTCCGCCAGCGTACGACAATAGCACATTTACTAACGACGATGGCCAATTGCCAACGTTGGAACTGCCATCGTTTCCGGCGCGACCGCCGATCTACGAACATTCTCGGCTATGAGCAGGAAAAGGCTCTTGCTCCAAAGAATGTAATGTAAATAGTGTTTCAGTTATATTGGACTAGGCATGAGTCAGGTAGCTGAAGATTGACGACATTAACGTCGAGATTTTACAAGGAGTGTTTCACACTGTTGACAGTTGATATAATCTACATTTTTTTAATTAAGTGGAAAAATATCAGATACTTTGTTTGTAATATTTTTTTGCGTCTTTCATCGGTCAAATGTTGATGGGTTAAAGTTCCTCACACGTCAAGCCGAGACTTACGAAATTATGCAAAAGCGCGATGTACAAAGCAGCAACTACGATAATTAAGAATTTTGTTTTGTTTGAACGCGTCATGTTGCAAAACATTCATGAGCGCATGGTGGATTACATAATGCTCTTGATAAAGAAGTTTACAAAAAGGTTGATAAACTCCGACTATCTTCAAGATACGTTCTGTGTTCTTAAAATAGAAGTTTGTGTGTAATGAAGTGAGTATCTGCAGGTGTAATTTTTGTAAAAAAAAAAATAAAAATGAAAACTTTAATATAATACTAAACTTAATTATTGTGGGGATCGAAAATTAATGGAGCACTGATTGTGAATTGATTTAAATTCGGAATTTCTCGTTTTCCATTCTAATATTTAGTGCGTTAGAATTTAATGCGTCAACAATGTTCCATTGCTGTCATAATTATTCTGGTCATCCACGTATACTTTAAATCATAATCCTGCGATTCTCTTTTAAATCATTTTAATAATTTTAATTTAAGTCACGTCAATCATAATTATATAATTATACCGAAGTCTATTAGGATCCAGGTGTGTCAAAAAGTTGTTTACGTACGCATATACGCATGTATTTACATATTCAACACGAATTGCATATCGCAAAAAGTGTTTTATTGAGAAAGTCACATAAATTAATATTATAAGCTAATATTAAGTGGCTAATATTGGTTTTGGTGTTATCACATGTCATAGACAGCCTGTCGAGCTCACCATAGCGGATAATACAAAACGATATAATGACATATCGTACATTTTATGTATATGGATCACGCTGACGAAATATTACACACAGGAGTGATTACGAGTAATTTTACGACATACGAATTAGCAGCGCACTTGAGATTCGCCATTCATCTCTCTATATACAAATTATTTAATATAAATAAACGAATCTCTACACATGTAATATACAAAAGTAAGAACCGCGGAAGAGGAATCGCAGAGTAGACTCTTCTAGACGGAGAACGACGACGCCTCGACGAAGAGTTTTGTCATGAGAAATGCTGTGTACATATCTACATACAGAACCGTACGGACGACACATGTTCGACGTTCTGCGAATAAATAGCCGCTTAAGAGAATAAATACGCCGTGGCAACTAGATTGATCTACCTGCGCGTGTCAAAACGATGTTGCCGCAATTACTATGTCGACAAACATAGGTAAAAAATAGAAAGTGGGAAGAGAGGGGAGAAAGTATGTTTGGATGCAGTGCGTCAATAAGCGTAAAAAATAAAGCCTCCTTTCGAGTTCGGCGTACTCTAATACTTCTCGAGTCTCGGCTAACACCTGACGACTTAGCGCGATAACGCTCTTAATACTTAATACTAAATATTTCCATTTAACAAATATCGAATAGCGGTTTCGCGCGCCGGTTTGCCAATACGCGAGACGCAACGAGTTTTGTGTATTTATTTTGATTACGGCGCAAGGCGATATTACTCGGCTTTGCGGCAGCATATCATCGAGTTTCCAAACTCGCGTCGTTTTTTTAAATAAACAATTTCAATGTTCAATCGCATAATTATTCTGCCAAGTCAGACCTTGTTACGCACAAGCAAAAAGAATGTGTTGTCGGAAGAAAAATGCGACAATTGAATTCTCACGTAGTCGAGGAGACGAGCCGCCGACTGCTCGGAACACAAACGTTCGCATCGCTCAGTCACACTCACGTCTCATTCACACCGTATTGTCCGAAAATAAAAGGTAAAATTAGAACACTTAAAGATTGTGACGAACTACAAAAATATATCGATCCACGTACCACAATGCAAAAACCATAATGCACTGTCCTTTCATCATCGGGTTAGGTACTTATTTCTGTTACTTATTGTCTCGATCGCTCGAAGCCCTTTGCCAAGTTCGTACAACATACGCGAACGCAGGCGTAATTTACGCTGCTTTCCTTTGCATCGCGCATATTTTTTCTCCCGTACGATCGCATCGATCATTAAAGGAACTAGTTCTCTCGCAATTTCAACGCGTAAAATTCCGCGCAGGCTCGCGAGGTCCATTGCGATTCAACACTCCTCCGTAGACGTGCTAGAGATCTGTGTGCTAGCGCCGCTAGAGAAGCTACTCCTGCAAGTCTCTACGGCGAGAGCGGTGTCCGGCACCTGGACGAACTGCACTTTCTCCTTGGGCCACCTGCTCCTGCCGTAGACGCAGTTGAAGATGTTGTAACGATGATCCATCTCCAGGTGACTCAGAGTGCTACTGTGCCGTCGCTTTAGCACCTTCTTTGCCATCAAGCTGCGATTGTTCTTGTACGAGAGTTCTCGATGGAAGCAGAAGAACTTACGCAGCTCTCGTTTCACCCGTCGGGATCGATAGCCAAAGAGCAACGGGCTCACGTAGGCGGCCAGGATTAAAAAGCTGAGTGCGAGCACGTCGTATTCATGCGGGAACACGTAATCCGAGTATTGTGGCAGATTCTTGATCATGTTCAATAGCACGTATGGCGACCAGCAAATTAGGCCCATTACGATCACCAGCGCGCTGATTCTGGCCGCTCTAGTCTCCTCACGATACCTGAACAAGGAGCCGTTGCTGATCCGATACTTGAGAGAATTGATGTAACTGTTGGTGCTACGTACACTGGCCACTCGATGCAGCGAACTTGACTTGCCAGGCGCGGGTGTGATCGTCACGATGGGCGTCAAAAAGCAAGACGAGGGTTCCGAACTATTGTATCCAACGTTTTCTGCATTTCTACTAATCGCGTATGATTCCACATTGGCATCGAAGATACTGGGTCTTGACAAACGGCGACTGGGTCGTCTCGGTCTCTTGTTCTCCGAGTTACCGCTAGAATTCGGGATCTCGTTTTGTGCTTGTTCCTGTTCTATTGTCTTAACAGAAACCTCCTCCTCGATACAACAGGTCGTCGTCTTAAAAGAATCCCGTTCGAGATTGTCCACGTCGTCACATGGCTCCTCCTCTGTCCTCTCGCATTGGGTAACTGACAGAAGACAGTCGGAGGACCGTTGATCTGTGAGGATTTTGATCTTGCGAGTTGTTTTAGGAACTGTTAAGGAATCGAAGTAATCGTAGCGTCGGTCGTCGTTCTCGGAATCACTCGAGTCCGCCCCGGCGATCCACCCGGAGGATTCCCCGATCTCGTTCGTTAGATCACACGAAGATTTCCGTCTCCGATCGGCTTCCGAATCGTGGAATTTGCCAACAACGAGGTTCTCATAGGATGAAACGTGTTCCTTCTTGAGGTAGTTTGTCTGCAGATCAGCTGCTTCCGTCAAATTATTATCATTGTTTTGATCAGACGGCACTTCCACCGGTTGCAGTCCTACCGTGAAGACGATTCCCGACGACGTCTGCTCGTCATTCGATCCCGTCTGTGCCGCGTCCAAGGACGACGAAAAGGATCTCCGACGTGATATCTGATTGACCGAATGCGTAGTCTCGCTCGTCTCGTCGATGGACGAAAGACTCGAGATTTTGGGTATTCTACGAAACTCTTCGGAAAACGTGTCAGCGGATTGATGCTGTGCCTTCACGTAATAGTACGGATCTTCGCTGAAACTACCCGATGAAAGAATCGGTCGCGAGCCAGTCCTACGAGTTCTCTCAGAGTTTCGGTGCGCGGCCGAATAGATGCTGATATAAATCCAACAAACACCGGCGAATGGAAGTAGATATGCGAATACGCTGTGTACGACCGTGTAAATGAGTCCGTAAGTAACAGAGTCGTTAGTCATGGTACGAAAAATCACAGTAGAGTTCTCGAGGAAGCCGATGCTACTATCGATCTTGATCGACTCGATCGTTTTAAGTAACGTTGGCGTCGCGTCATCGATCACTTCCTCTTCCTCCTCCTCGCTGGTCCCGTTGCCGAGGAACGTGAACGCGGATTCGAGCGACGTCTCCGCCGTCGCGGTAATGTTTGATACAAATTCGCTATAGGACGAATTATTCAGCAACGTGCTGCAGGACAGCCACAGGCTACGCGGACTAGGGTTCAAGGCAGCGACCAAGCCGAAGGTCATTGAAACCAGCCAGATGGAGACGATCAGCACGGCCGACTTGAGCTTGTCCACTCGAGCCCGATAACGCAGTGGGTCCACCACGGCAAAATATTGATCGACGGCAATCAGCAGGACTGATAGCACTGACGACGTGGTAACGAGCGCAGTGGCACCTTCGGATATCGCACAGATATTGCTGGCGGCCGATGGAGACGTCGATGGCGAATCAAACGGCGACGTGAAGTCATCTGGCGTTGACGTAGACGTCATCAGTGTGTCTTCCACCGTCGGGCCGTCCATCATCAGCAACGGGTTCAGCACGGCACATGTCAGCAGATTCGAAACGGTTAGGTTCATCACGAATCTGGAATTGAGACAGAACAGGCCGTCTTCAACATCGAACGTTGATAATGTCCGACTCTTGTGTGATTGTCTTAAATTAGCGATCGATGGTTGATTGAATGACGATAGCTCATTAAACCATGAGATGAGATCTGTTACGATTAATAAGTCAATCAAGATGCAAGGCGGAATAGGAGATAAGAGAAAAAGAAGGGAAGATCTTTTATATTATTTTTTTTCCACGCGAGTCAATTGTGAATCAAAACTACTTGATAATTGAACAAACAGACACAAACGTATATAATTCATTGGTAGAAAGCAACATTAAAAGAGACACAAAGCCACAGAAAGCACTGAAAGAAAAGAAAGCGGAGTTTTATTTTCGTATTTTTCTGCTACGTTTTTAATTACAAGTCACGTATTAGCAAACACGAACGTCATGTGAATTGTATCGAATTGCTTAATATTCTTGCTCCTCGTGGATGGATTGTATTCGCCGTTTTTCTGCCAATATGACAAATTCGTCTTGAAAACGTTTAAAGTACTCGTGGTGTTTCGTTTCATTTAGTTGTGTTATCAATGGATCGACGAGCGAATTCAACTGATCACTTTGATCTAAGTATAGCTCGAAAATATCGTTCACGTTATTTTGCAAAACGTCGGACACGAGATAATAAATGAATTTTCCTTTATACAGTGGTGAATGTTACAGTTTCGAGTTGCACTGTTAACAGCGACGAAATGTTCTGAAAATACGACAGATTTATTATTACATTTCGTTGCTGCGGTTGCCAAAGTTTGGTACTCGGCGAGTAATTGATTTCCTGGCTCAGCAGGTGGAAGTCTACGTAATAACAATGATATAGATCCAGTCTTAGTAGTGCGCAGCTCTATTAATACAGCTTACTAACTCAACTACTACTCAACTGAAACGTT